AATCTTTAAGGCCTCTTGGTGATACAGTATTAACAGTTGTAAGAATCTTTACCTTTTAGTGTGTCATCGTCAAAGTTCAGCTCTTGGCCGGTACCATGTGATGTAACATCACTCTCACTTGCTGCTCCTTTTCCACCCTGTGTCATAATGGTTTGATCTGGAAAAATCAGTATAAAGCTGTAAATTGACATTATCCTGACTTATACATAAAGCCCCAGTACCAAAACAGGCATTCATTATGCGACAAGTGATAAACTCGACCAGAAATTCTACGAAAAGCCTAATCTAGATAAAAAATTTAAAAAAAATGAAAAACCCACCTTTAGTAGAGATACTGTCGACTTTGACTCTTTAACCACTTCCGTATGTTGAATGTTTTCAAATGACGGTTTTTTGTCGTTTTTTGTCGTTATTCTATTTGTCCTTAGTTTGCTATATTAAAGGCCTTTTGGTGATACACTATTAACAGTTGTAAGAATCTTTACCTTTCAGTGTGTTATCATCAAAATTCAGCTCTTGTCCGGTACCATGTGATGTAACATCACTCTCACTGGCTGCTCCTTTTCCACTCTGTGGCATATTGGTTTGATCTGGGAAATCAGTATAAAGCTGTAAATTGACATTATCTTGACTTGTATATAAAGCACTAGTACCAAAACAGCCATTCATTATGCCACAAGTGATAAACTCGACCACAAATTTTACGAAAAGCTTAATCTAGATAAACAAATGAAAAAACGACCTTCAGTAGAGATACTGTTTAACGACTTTGCCTTTTTAACCACTTCCGTTTGTTGAATAATTTTAAATGACGGGTTTTTGTCTTTTTTGTATATTTTATTTCATCTGTCCTTAGTTTGCCATCTTTAAGGCCTTCTGGTGATACAGTATTAACAGTTGTAAGAATCTTTACCTTTTAGTGTGTCATCGTCAAAGTTCAGCTCTACTCCGGTACCATGTGATGTAACATCACTCTCACTGGCTGCTCCTTTTCCACTCTGTGCCATAATGGTTTGATCTGGAAAATCAGTATAAAGCTGTAAATTGACATTATCCTCACTTGTGCATAAAGCCCCAGTACCAAAACAGCCATTCATTATGCCACAAGTGATAAACTCGACCACAATTTCTACGAAAAGACTAATCTAGATAAAAAATAAAAAATAAAAATAAAAAACCAACCTTTAGTAGAGATACTGTCGACTTTGACTCTTTAACCACTTCCGTATGTTGAATGTTTTCAAAAGACGGTTTTTTGTCGTTTTTATATGTTATTCTATTTGTCCTTAGTTTGCTACATTAAAGGCCTTTTGGTGATACACTATTAACAGTTGTAAGAATTTTTACCTTTCAGTGTGTCATCATCAAAATTCAGCTCTTGTCCGATACCAAGTGATGTAACATCACTCTCACTTGCTGCTCCGTTTCCACTCTGTGTCATAATGGTTTGATCTGGAAAAATCGGTAAAAAGTTTTAAATTAATATTAACTAGTATTAACTAGTATTAACTAATATTAGATAAAAAATAAAAACCACCGTCAGTGGAGATAATGTTTAACGACTTTCCGTCTTTATGTATGTTGAATCTTATCAAATGACGGTTTTTTTCCTTTCTGTATCTTTTATTTCATTTCTCCTTAAATTTTTATGTTAAAGACCCTTTTGTGATACGCTATTAACAGTTGTAAGAATTTTTACCTTTCAGTGTGTCATCATCAAAGTTCATTTCTTGTCCGGTACCAAGTGATGTAACATCACTCTCACTTGCTGCTCCGTTTCCACTCTGTGCCATAATGTTTTGACCTGGAAAAATCAGTATAAAGTTATAAATTGACATTATCTTCACTTGCATATAAAGCACTAGTACCAAAACAGCCATTCATTTTGCTACAAGTGGTAAAATCGACCACAACTGATTGTAGGAAAAGCCTAATCTAGATAAAAAATGAAAAAACCACCTTCAGTAGAGATACTGTTTAACGACTTTGACTCTTTAACCACTTCCGTATGTTGAATGTTTTCATATGACGGTTTTTTGTCAGTTTTTTATATTTTATTTTTTTTGTCGTTAGTTTGCTATATTAAAGGTCTTTTGGTGATACACTATTAACAGTAGTAAGAATCTTTACCTTTCAGTGTGTCATCATCAAAGTTCAGCTCTTGTCCGGTACCATGTGATGGAACATCACTCTCACTCTCTGCTCCTTTTCCACTCTGTGCCATACTGGTTTGATCTGGGAAATCAGTATAAAGCTGTAAATTGACATTATCTTGACTTGTATATAAAGCACTAGTACCAAAACAGCCATTCATTATGCCACAAGTGATAAACTCGACCACAAATTTTACGAAAAGCTTAATCTAGATAAACAAATGAAAAAACGACCTTCAGTAGAGATACTGTTTAACGACTTTGCCTTTTTAACCACTTCCGTTTGTTGAATAATTTTAAATGACGGTTTTTTGTCTTTTTTGTATATTTTATTTCATCTGTCCTTAGTTTGCCATCTTTAAGGCCTTCTGGTGATACAGTATTAACAGTTGTAAGAATCTTTACCGTTTAGTGTGTCATCGTCAAAGTTCAGCTCTTTTCCGGTACCATGTGATGTAACATCACTCTCACTGGCTGCTCCTTTTCCACTCTGTGCCATAATGGTTTGATCTGGAAAATCAGTATAAAGCTGTAAATTGACATTATCCTCACTTGTGCATAAAGCCCCAGTACCAAAACAGCCATTCATTATGCCACAAGTGAAAAACTCGACCACAATTTCTACGAAAAGCCTAATCTAGATAAAAAATAAAAAATAAAAATAAAAAACCAACCTTTAGTAGAGATACTGTCGACTTTGACTCTTTAACCACTTCCGTATGTTGAATGTTTTCAAAAGACGGGTTTTTGTCGTTTTTATATGTTATTCTAGTTGTCTTTAGTTTGCTACATTAAAGACCCTTTGGTGATACGCTATTAACAGTTGTAAGAATTTTTACCTTTCAGTGTGTCATCATCAAAGTTCATTTCTTGTCCGGTACCAAGTGATGTAACATCACTCTCACTTGCTGCTCCGTTTCCACTCTGTGCCATAATGTTTTGACCTGGAAAAATCAGTATAAAGTTATAAATTGACATTATCTTCACTTTTATATAAAGCACTAGTACCAAAACAGCCATTCATTTTGCTACAAGTGGTAAAATCGACCACAACTGATTGTAGGAAAAGCCTAATCTAGATAAAAAATGAAAAAAACCACCTTCAGTAGAGATACTGTTTAACTACTTTGACTCTTTAACCACTTCCGTATGTTGAATGTTTTCATATGACGGTTTTTTGTCAGTTTTTTATATTTTATTTTTTTTGTCGTTAGTTTGCTATATTAAAGGTCTTTTGGTGATACACTATTAACAGTCGTAAGAATCTTTACCTTTCGGTGTGTTATCATCAAAATTCAGCTCTTGTCCGGTACCAAGTGATGTAACATCACTCTTACATGCTGCTCCGTTTCCACCCTGTGCCATAATGGTTTGATCTGGAAAAATCGGCAAAAAGCTTTAAATTAATATTAACTAGTATTAACTAGTATCAACTAATATTAGATAAAAAATAAAAATCACCTTCAGTGGAGATAATGTTTAACTACTTTCAGTGTTCATGTATGAAATGTTGAATGTTATTAAATGATGGTTTTTTTCCTTTCCGTATCTTTTATTTCTCCTTAAATTTCTGATGTTAAAGGCCTTTTAGTGATACACTATTAACAGTTGTAAGAATCTTTACCTTTCAGTGTGTCAGCATCAAAGTTCAGCTCTTGTCCGGTACCATGTGATATAACATCATTCTGACTTGCTGCTCCGCTTCCAATCTGTACCATAACGGTTTGATCTGGAAAATCAGTATAACTTTATAAATTGACATTATCTTGACTTGTATATAAAGCACTAGTACCAAAACAGCCATTCATTATGCCACAAGTGATAAACTCGACCACAAATTCTAGGAAAAGCCTAATCTAGATAAAAAATGAAAAAAAACACCTTCAGTAGATAAACTGTTTAACGAATTTGCCTTTTTAACCACTTCCGTTTGTTGAATAGTTTCAAATGACGGTTTTTTGTCTTTTCTGTATATTTTATGTCATTTGTCCTTAGTTTGCAATCTTTAGGGCCTTCTGGTGATACAGTATTAACAGTTGTAAGAATCTTTACCTTTCAGTGTGTCATCGTCAAAGTTTAGCTCTTGGCCGGTACCATCTGATGTAACATCACTCTCACTGGCTGCTCCTTTTCCACTCTGTGTCATAATGGTTTGATCTGGAAAATCAGTATAAAGCTGTAAATTGACATTATCCTCACTTGTACATAAAGCCCCAGTACCAAAACAGGCATTCATTATGCGACAAGTGATAAACTCGACCACAAATTCTACGAAAAGCCTAATCTAGATAAAAAATAAAAAAAAACACCTTCAGTACAGATACTGTTTAACGACTTTGCCTTTTTCACCATTTCCGTTTGTTGAATAATTTCAAATGACGGTTGCTATATTAGAGGCCTTTTTGTGATACACTATTAACAGTTGTAAGAATCTTTACCTTTCAGTGTGTCATCATCAAAGTTCAGCTCTTGGCCGGTACCATGTGATGTAACATCAGTCTCACTTGATGCTCCGTTTCCACTCTGTGCCACAATGGTTTGATCTGGAAAAATTAGTATAACGCTGTAAATTGACACCATCTTTACTTGTATATAAAGCACTAGTACCAAAACAGCCATTCATTATGCCATAAGTGATAAACTCGACCACAAATTTTACGAAAAGCCTAATCTAGATAAAAAAAAAATGAAAAAACCACCTTCAGTAGAGATACTGTTTAACGACTTTGCCTTTTTAACCATTTCCGTTTGTTGAATAATTTCAAATGACAGTTTTTTGTTTTTTTTGTACATTTTATGTCATCTGTCCATAGTTTGCTATATTAGAGGCTTTTTTGTGATACACTATTAACAGTTGTAAGAATCTTTACCTTTCAGTGTGTCATCGTCAAAGTTCAGCTCTTGGCCGGTACCATGTGATGTAACATCACTCTCACTTGCTGCTCCGTTTCCACTCTGTGCCACAATGGTTTGATCTGGAAAATCAGTATAAAGCTGTAAATTGACATCATCCTCACTTGTACATAAAGCCCCAGTATCAAAACAGCCATTCATTATGCCACAAGTGATAAACTCGACCAGAAATTCTACGAAAAGCCTAATCTAGATAAAAAAAAAAAAAAAAAAAAAAAAAAAAACCCACCTTTAGTAGAGATACTGTCGACTTTGATTCTTTAACCACTTCCGTATGTTAAATGTTTTCAAATGACGGTTTTTTGTCGTTTTTATATGTTATTCTATTTGTCCTTAGTTTGCTACATTAAAGGCCTTTTGGTGATACACTATTAACAGTTGTAAGAATCTTTACCTTTCAGTGTGTCATCATCAAAATTCAGCTCTTGTCCGATACCAAGTGATGTAACATCACTCTCACTTGCTGCTCCGTTTCCACTCTGTGCCATAATGGTTTGATCTGGAAAATCAGTATAAAGCTGTAAATTGACATTATCCTCACTTGTACATAAAGCCCCAGTATCAAAACAGCCATTCATTATGCCACAAGTGATAAACTCGACCAGAAATTCTACGAAAAGCCTAATCTAGATAAAAAAAAAAAAAAAAATGAAAAACCCACCTTTAGTAGAGATACTGTCGACTTTGACTCTTTAACCACTTCCGTATTTTAAATGTTTTCAAATGACGGTTTTTTGTCGTTTTTATATGTTATAGTATTTGTCCTTAGTTTGCTACATTAAAGGCCTTTGGGTGATACACTATTAACAGTTGTAAGAATCTTTACCTTTCAGTGTGTCATCATCAAAATTCAGCTCTTGTCCGATACCAAGTGATGTAACATCACTCTCACTTGCTGCTCCGTTTCCACTCTGTGCCATAATGGTTTGATCTGGAAAAATCGGTAAAAAGCTTTAAATTAATATTAACTAGTATTAACTAATATTAGATAAAAAAATGAAAAACACCTTCAGTTGAGAGATAATGTTTAACGACTTTCAGTCTTTATGTATCAAACGTTGAATGTTATCAAATGACAATTTTTTGTCATTATTCTATTTGTCCTTAGTTTGCTATATATTACAGGCCTTTTGGTGAAACATTATTAACAGTTGTAAGAATCTTTACCTTTCAGTGTGTCATCATCAAAGTTCAGCTCTTGTCCGGTACCATGTGATGTAACATCACTCTCACTTGCTGCTCCTTTTCCACTCTGTGCCATAATGGTTTGATCTGAAAAAATTAGTATAACGCTGTAAATTGACACTATCTTTACTTATATATAAAGCACTAGTACCAAAACAACCATTCATTATGCCACAAGTGATAAACTCGAAAAGAAATTCTACGAAAAGCCCAATCAAGATGAAAAAAAAAATGAAAAACCCACCTTTAGTAGAGATACTTTAGACTTTGACTCTTTAACCACTTCCGTATGTTGAATGTTTTCCGCAAATGACGGTTTTTTGTCGTTTTTATATGTTATTGTATTTGTCCTTAGTTTGCTACATTAAAGGCCTTTTGGTGATACACTATTAACAGTTGCAAGAATCTTTACCTTTCAGTGTGTCATCATCAAAGTTCATTTCTTGTCCGGTACCAAGTGATGTAACATCACTCTCACTTGCTGCTCCGTTTCCACTCTGTGCCATAATGGTTTGATCTGGAAAAATCAGTAAAAAGCTTTAAATTAATATTAATTTTCCTTGTATAAGCACTGTTCCCAAAACAACCATTCATTTTGCCAAGTGGTAAACTCACATTAGTATAAAACTTTTATTGACTGAACAAATCAATCAAAATTATGTGGCAGGCAGTTAAGAAATGCGTGAAGTAATTTTCAAACAACAGGACACGCAATCTGATTCAGTTTTTTGTTGTGCTTTCAATCAAGGCAGGAAACTGTATTCCAGAATTCAGTAGCCCAGTCGCTCAGTCCAACCTAGTAACCAACTATTGCGAAATCACTTTTCGACAATGTCGGTAGCAGATTCTGTTTCAGATTCAGAGCAACGATTTTTGCAGTTATTTTTTGTTATTCTAGTTAATCAACTTAGTAGCAGCAGGGAGTTACAGTACCAGGAGTCAATTGCAGCAATAATCCTTATAAACATATTGTTTCTTTTTGGTGGAAGTGAAATTCGGTAAAGTTTACTTTTAGCTTTAAAGAACTTAGTGGGATAATCGTCATAATTTGGAACAGGTTTCGTTATTGGCAATACTTTGTTGATGAAAATTCGTGATAAAAACACTGTTAAGTATAGAAATTCGGTTTGCTACTTAAAGATCTTTGGCTGCTATGACGACATCAACAACAACAACACTTTTCTTACTTTAAAAACCACAAAAACTTAAGATTGGATTAACACTTAAATAAACTTTTCAAATAGTAATAATAATAATAATAATAATAATAATATGATAGTTATACTAATTATAATATTAAACGGTACAATGTGAAGGTGCTGTGGCTGCACCGTAGGATTTCAGCATTCGTTATTATAAATGCCTTGCTAATCATTTCTGTTGATGGGTTTAACCGCACAACAAATTATCATGGGAATATTGTTTGGCACTAAAAGTGTACACCTCTCTAAAACCGAAACTGGTCACGGTATCACACTATCAAAGCCAGTCTTGTAGCAGAAGTATACGCATGCGCAAAAAAAAAAAAATTGAAGAGCGGGTAGGGGTCTACCGAACACCGTAACACTGCAATGAAAAATCGAACAATTGGACACAACCATGCTAAAAATCGCCGAGCCAATAACAAAAAATTCCGCATGTTTAGATATACCACAATATCAGAATTCAAGACCACAATTACAGAAGTACCGCATGAAAATTTGGCAAACACAATAATGCCGCAAACTTTCTCAATGTAAGGCGATAAAATGTAACACTCTACTATACTCTCTCCTCCCCGAGACAGTCGGTTGATTCCAAATGCCCCACGGTGCAGTGGGTAAAAGAGCCTAGAGGCAACGCAGATGCCTAAAGGGGATGGTCACACTTCAGATTTACTCACCCATTTTAGTTGATTGCAGGCCCTTTCACCGGAGTTGAGGGCTCTTCGTTTTCGAGTTGAGTGTATTTCGGTTTCCAAAAAATACAGGATATTTGGTTCTTTTCCCAATCGTGGTTGTTTCCGTTTTACTTGTAGGTCTCTCCAATTAAGCTTGGTATTCGACAATCTGTTTTGCTGTTATGAAGTACGTCATAAGCAAAAGTCTCGATTTTCCAAATTGGGGTGGATCGAAACCCGAGTAGTACTCTGGATTTCAAGTGACGGGTTTGATCGAAGGATTTCTTGGGTTTGAAATTTTCGATTTCGGGATTTTCTTGGGGTAGCTAAGGAAAATTTGGCAAAAATTTTGTCGGATGGCTTGATTGAACTGAAAATTGTTATTCGTGCTTTGCCTGCTTAATCCGGCCGCGTAGTTGTGTATGGGATTTTTATTTTATTTTTTTTATTTTTTTTTGGGGGGTAATTTTTTGGTCCAGGGATTTTTTGGGCTTTCGATTTTTGCTCCCATTCGAACATCCACGTCACTTTAAACCGGGAATACCCCCTGAAACTTGCTGTGGTAAAAGCTTTGTTCGCACTTCTGATAAATAAAATAAGAACTACCGTGATAAACAAAATCGAAAAAATTAATTGAATGTTTTGAATGGCAAGAAAGTTGAATTGCGAGGATTAAGCGAAGGTCTATTTACTGAACTGATTCAGTTTTCGAGAAGGAAAACCATTTGAATTAAGAAGCTTGTCTTTAGTGGCCCGGCTAATTAAGGACGAGTTTTAAAATTTGTGCTAAAGGACCACAAGTCAAGGATGGAAAGTCTGTCTTAGATGGATTGCCGTCTTAAATAAATCCGCATGGGCTCTTTCTCTCTCTCATTTTTGCTAAATGGGGAAAAAACGAACTCAACAGACCATTGCTTCTGGTAGAGAAAAAATTGTGCTGAAGATATTGCGACTTCTCAGGTAAATTAAGGCGTGGGCCTCAATTTGCCTTAATTTGCTCTCTTCAAAAGTGAGGGGGTGGTCTATATCTAAGAGCTTTAGATGAAGAGACATAAAACTTTGCCAGCTGACCACATTTTTAGTTTGTGTCAATTTTGTGCTTTAAAATTATGCAAATTAGGTCACGTGACCTCCATCGGCTGAAAAAGCTTGTTCTTCAAACGGCAACACTTTTTCGTGTGTCTTCAATTATTTTTCCGGTGGCATAATGTTAATGCCGTTTAATGTATCACTTCTGTGCTTGGCCTTTTTTAGATATTTAAAATTGAAGGCGTTAAGATGGGATACAATTGCTCTGAGGGACTGGGTCTAGTTGAAAAAGCCGTTTATTTTCCAAAACAGTAAAAAATTTAAAAAAGGCCAAGCACAGTCTTGTAGATGCTTGCATTATACATTGTCCTAAACCAGTCCGGTTTAACAACTCACAACAAAAAGTGTTGCCATTTTTGTTTAAAGACTTTTTATTGTTTTCTGACCGTGTGGAGTCACGTGACAACATTTGCATAATTGAACATCACCTAATTGACAGAAACCACACATGTATGTATCTGGCAAAGTTTCATCTTTCTACTGCTTACGTGCTCAGAGATAGACTACCCCCCATCACTATTTTACTGAATCATTGGGGACCCATGCCTTAATTTACCTGAGTTAGAAATGCGAAGATAATGAAGAAGGTTTTTCAAAAACAGTTCAATTAATTGTTAATTAAAATACCTTACGTTAGTTTCTGACCCTATCAATGCACTCACGGGAATCGCAACAAAGCGATAAAAAGAACAGGAAACTTTTCGAAATCACTAATTATAGTGTGGCTTGTTTAGAAAGTGCACAAATAACATGTCATTGAACAAATAGAGAATACTTCATGGAAAGTGCTGGCGTACGGTATTTACGCACGAGTTGTTGACGTATCAGAAATCGAACGAGTGAGCGCAGCGAACGAGTAAGATTTCTGATACAAAAACAACGAGTGCGTAAATACCGTACAAAGCACTTTCCATGTGGTATTGTGTTTATTATATACATACTGAGACATTCATCATTTTGGCGGCCTTTTCATTTTGAATCTTTCAAAAATGCTAAAATTTGCCGCTACACACTTACCTCAAAATGACAACGAACACGAAGTATCAGCTTTTTGGTAAAAACGTTTGTTAAAAACATAAAGGACGGTAAGGATATGAGGTAATCCAAGAACTATAAGTAATCTTAACTGTTTGTTCTCAATGCACCATTGAAAATGAGTGAATTTAAGTAAAATGGCCGGTTTCAATATTATAAGCTTGAGCTTAAATGAAAGGCAAAGTAGCTCCGACAAAAAGCACAACAAAAGCTTACGTCTCGTTCTGTTTTTCCCTTTCCGTTGTTGTTTCGCCGGCTCTCTAACGTTTTTTTCATCGACATTGAAACAAACGAAACTATACCACTCCATTTCCGAAATGTTTTTCACTTTTTTAGCGAGAAAAACTCTTTGAATAAAACTTTTCTCGTTGAATGTGTGCGAAGCGGCGCTGCAAGCTGCAATAAAAGGCGGGAATTTTGGTGCGAAACTCACACGCCTCTTTGGCTTCTGATTGGACGTATCATTTTTCTCACACGTGAAAAAACATCGTTCGCGATTCTGATTGGACGTATCATTTATTTCACGCGTGAAAACCATCGTTCACTCCTCTGATTGGCTAGAACTAATTTGTGTACGAAAATTTACGACGTAGCTTTTTGGTGAGTATTTCTCAGTATGTATATAATAATATTATATACTTCTTACAGGTAAGAAAACCTTTCACTAAACAAACGATCTAATTGATCAGATTTAGCTTACCTGTATTTTCACGGGGAAAAACTTCTCTGTTGCGTTTCACTCTACCTGTCTCACTCAGTCGTATCTTCTTATGATGATATGAAAGGGGCGTCAACTGATTATAAAGACTTTGGCGAATCATGTGATCAAAAGGACACGACGCAATAGGTTAATTTTATTTTAAGAAAATGTGTGTGATGACATTCTGCCAAAAAATATGTTTTATTCGTAACAATTCAAGAAACTGATATAAACAAAAGAATATGACGCAAGAATATTTTATTTAAAGAAAATACGTTTGATGACATCCGATCGAAAATAAAACTGTTACTTGGCAATTTATAAACTGTTACACACATATACAATATTTCGCTTTACAATATTTCTCTTTCATGCATTCTCTCTCTTTCGTACTTAAATCTGTAATATTTTCTAAAGCAAAACCCCTGGAGTCAACCAGAAATAGTATTCCATGCCATCTCAGTGTGACGATAAGAAGAAGGAAGCCATACACTATACCAGTTCAGAAAAAGTGCAAATCCCAGTTTTCTTGTGAAAATGAGTTTTATTTACATGAGAATAAAAAAAATTTTCATATCAATGACTTTGCACTTAGCCCCGCTTTGAAACAGAGGCTAAGGCCGGCTCGGTAGTAGACTATTGGTGAGGACTCATTTGTCTCTTACATTGTTTTGCTCATAGTAACCTACGCGTTGTTTTTTGCTCATATCTACTTAGATCAAAAGACTCACAAAAATCATTTTGACTCTAAAAAGTGAAGAATATCTCAAACTGAAGTATTTGAGCTGCAATCGGTGACAAAA